AGAGTCCAAAATGATTCCCACTCATATATACAAATTTGAAATTTGACATAGCTGGCATTGTGGATCTCTGGGCAGAGGAAGGAGTATTCAATGAGTGGTGCTAGGATCCTTGGATATCCATATGGAAAAAAATTAAATTGGACCCCTACCTCACACCAGAACTAATAAAAATTAATTTCAGGTGAAGAAAAGACTTAAAAGTCAAAAGTGGAACTTTAAAATTTTTCGGAAAACATCTTCATACAAATCCCCTTATGGATACTTGTGAGAGTGCCTCTGTTTACCCAGGGCTTGGATCACTAAATCTCAAGGTAAACACACACATAATTTCACCCAAATCCTGCTAGATTGCACTCCAGAAGACTATACTAGTCTGAAACCCCAGCAGCAGCACATGAGGGCCCGTCTCCCGTCACCTTTGCCTACACTTAGCGTCCTCCTACTTTTTTTCTTTTTGCCATTCTGCTGGGTATAAAGTGACTTGTTTTATTTTCATTTCTGTGACTGTAAGGAAATTGAGCAAGTCCTTCCTGACATGTGGGTTTCCCCTTCTATAAACTGCCTGTTCATATGCTTTGTCCACCTCTTTATAGAGTTTCCTGTCTGTTTCTTGGTAACTTGCCGTAAGTTGCTTACATAATCGCTATGCTATTCGTTTGTTATTGTTCTAGTCAATGAAGGGGTGTTTTTTTTTTCAACTTTTCAACCTTCTGCCAGCTTCGTCTTTGAAGTCCTTAACTGAACCAAACTGCTTAATTTTTATGTGGCCAAGTTTGAAGACTTGAAAATTCGTAGAGAAGTTCTTTCCACCCCCATTCCTTCTGTAAAATACCTATTCAAGTCTTTTGCCTGCTATTCTACTGAGATGCTTGTCGTTTTCTTACTGATTTTAAGAATTCTTGATATACCGTGGATCCTAATCCCTCTGGGCAGTGTGACCTCCTCGACATTTCTGGTCTACCCCACGCAGAGGATGAGCACACTCCCAGGGTATGCGTAAGTGGGGAAGCGATGGGCACGTCCAGGATCTATCCACTAACGCTGGAGGAGACCTCTGGGGAGGCTGAGGGGGTAGGTGAGGCACTGTATCAGTTTCCTAGGACTGCCAGAACAAAGTACTGCAAACTGGATGGCTTAAGACAACAGAAATTTCTTCTTTCACAGTTCTAGGGGCTGGAAATCCAAAATAAAGGTGTCAGCAGGGTTGGTTCCTTTCAAGTCTGTAGGGGAAAACCTGTTCCACGTCTCCCTCCTACCTCCCTCTCTGGCGATGGCCAGCAATCCTTGGCATTCCTTGGCTTGTAGATGCATTGCTCCAGTCTCTGCCTCCGTCTACACATGGCACTTTCCCTGTGTCTCTGTGTCGTCGCACGACCATCTTCTTATGAGCACACCAGTCACATCAGATTAGGAGCCCACCATACTCCAGTATGGCCTCATCTTGTCAAATTATATTGGCAATGATCCTATTTCCAAATCAGGTCAGATTCTGAGCACTGGAGGTTAGGACTTCAAGGTACCTTTAGGGGCTGATTCCCAAGAACCATCTTTGAGGGATCATCTTTGAGCCATGATTCAAACCATAACACCCACATTGTCCACTCTGAACATCCACCCATCATTTAAGACTTCTCTTAGCCTCCTGTCCTCTGGGAAGCTTTCTCCAGCCCACCTACCCATCGCTCCTCCTAGACAATTAATTATTCAGTGCTGTCACAGGACCCAGTACCTAATCACGTGTTACAGTGTTTTCTACCTGTCCATTGACTTGTCTGTCTCCTTCACTAGAGTATGGACTCCTCAAAGGCAGGTATCAAGTCTCATTCACCCCTGTTTCTCTAGTGCCCCACACAGGGCCTGGCACACAGTTTTCATTATAATAGGAGCTAATACTTGTTGAGGGCTTACTATGTGCCAGTCACCGTGTTAAGAGCTTTACATACAATATCTCACTCAATTTTGACAACGATCCTAGGAAGTAGTATGTTAGTCTAGATGCCATAGGGCTGACAGATACAAAACAGAAAAGTTTAAGCAAGCAGTGAATTTATTGGCTCAATAAAAGGAAAGTCTAGAAGCATGCCTCAGGCATGGCTGGATCCAGATACCCAGAGAGAAATCAGGATTCCTTCCCTCCATCTCTCAGCTCTGCTTCTCTCTACCTGGCTTCACTTTGCAAGCAGGCTCACTCTACCCAGAGGGCAAGCTAGCCATCAGCAATAGTCACATCCTCTAAGCTTAGCCACCACAGTGAGAGAAACCAACATTTCCAGCAGAAAGATGAGGTCTGTGACTGGCCATCCTGTGTCAATTGGCTATGCCCACCAGGGAGTGGAAGCACAGGGACTGGCAGCCCATCAAGAGGTTTGCCCTAAAGGAGCCAAAATAAAATAAATGAGAAACCTTCCTGTGCAGAATAAGACTCTGGTCACCGTAAGCCACCATAGCTGGGTCCTGGAGTTGTCCCATTGTATAAATGAGGAAAGAGGGGCACAGAGTGACGAGCTAACTTGCCTAGGTACCCAGCTGGTAATAAGAGGCAGAAGGAGGATTTAAACTGATTGGCCTGATGCCAAGGCCTGCACTCCTCGCCAGTCCACCACACCAGCTGCCCATGCATTCTGGGATGGACAAGAGCCCATGATTCCGACGGAGGCAAACAAACCCGAGTCTGAGAGGCACTTCTGATCGCCACGAGTTCAGTGTCGTCATCAGTAAAACGCGGGCAGTAAAATGGCCAGTATCTACCTTGGGGTGAGGATCACATGAAATAATTCAAGTCCTGCATTTCGCACACGGCCTGGCACGTGGAAAGAGCTAAGCAAGTGTTGGATACTATTATGACTAACTATTCATTGAATGACTAAGTGAGCGAGTGGTATCTGAGCTCTAACACGGGGACTCTGGGTGGTTCTCTTCACAGAGGGAAGGCCTGGGGGTGGGGTGGGGAGGGCTTTGGGGCCTTGACAATCTCCGCCACCACTCAGAATACCCTCCTTGCATATTCCTATTCTTTGAGTTAATTCTTCAGGCAATTAATTTCTCTTGATTTTATGTAAAGTAGAGATTAAAGCATGTTTAGAAAATGCTGTTAATATTATTGATCTATAATTTAGCTCTAAGAAAGTCTGAAGGCCCACTCTCCCCTTCCATCCAGATGGCCACCTGCTATAAGATGGCCCCTTCTATAAGGAAATCTAGAGCTACTGTTGGCTCCCAAGCTCCATGCAGCTGGGTTTGCAACGGGCACCGTCCCCATTTATGACCATGTGCAGGAACAGAGTTTTGAAGGTGCCCAGGTCTGTCATAATTAGCCTGGAAGTCATCCAAGTTCTCCTGGAAGTGTGCAGCCAAGAAGTTGAGCCCTGGGCCTGGGAAGAACTGGGTTGAGCTGGGGTGAGTCAAGACAAGGCAGGGGACAGGAACAGGCCTGGCAGGCCAGCAGGGCACCATAACTCTTCTCCCAGTTGTAATTATACTTGGCCACCAAAAGCTATAGAAGTATTCCCATTTTGAGTGGGTCCCCATGGTCCCAGGACATCCTTTGATTTCTTCCCTGGGGGGAAGGGCCTTTGGGGTGTCTGGGCAGTGCCGGAATAGAGGAGACAGGAGAGCATTCCCCACGGATTCTCTGCCAGCCCTGCCTCAGATCCAGGAAACCTCTCTGGATGCCAAAGGTATAGATCCAGCAGGAAAATGCAATAGTGACGAGAGGGAACCAGCTGCTTCTCTGAGGGCTGGATGTGCGGAAAGGGTGTGGGGGGACTCAGAAGTGGGGAAGGAAGGGGGGGGGAGGAGGAAATGAGGCAAAGTGCCAACTCTCCAGTGGCCCAGCTGAGTCTCTACGTGGCTGGGAGCTGCAGACCCAGGACACAGAGGAGCCAGGCTGCAGGATACAGGGATGCTGGGCTGCACAGCACAGAGATGTCAGCGTGCAGGACCTGGAGACGCTGCCTCATTTTCTGCCCCTCGCCTGCTGTTCCCCGTTCCCTTCCTCGCCTTCCGTCCACGCCCTCGGAGAAGCTGCTGATTTACTCCTGCTCGCCGGGGGTCTGGGGACGCTGGGACACCTCTGGACACTCTAACTGGTGTTCTGCCTTCCTAGGTGATCTTGGCCGAGTCTCTTAATGACAATAACCCAATCTGCATGGAGCCACAAAGGGAGCTCACACCATGATGTCACAGGGTCCTCCAACCACCCTCGCTGTACACACGTTATCTCATTCGATCCTCACAACAGCTCTGTGAAGCGCTGTCAGGGCACCACTTTACAGATGAGGGAACTGAGGCTTAGGGGGTGGTATGACCTCCCCAATGTCGTATGGCTGATAAATGGCAGAACTAGAATTCAAACTAGGTCGACTAAACTCCAACACTCAAGCTCTTCCATGATCCCAGGACAGAGAACAGAGGTTAACACTACCCTCACCGTGGAGACGAGGGAACTGGCTCAGAGAGGTCAAGTAACTTGCCATCCATCACACATGTGGAACGTGGTGGAGCCAGGATGCAAACCCACTTCCTTTCCCACCAACCCAATGTTCATTCTGCCAACAAAGCAACGAGAAGGCCCAGGAAGAGGATGTCTGAGGTTCCCTCCGGCTGAGATAATTATTGAATTCCGTGTTGAGACAGGGAGGAGTTGGAAGGGGAAGGGGTGAAATAAGGAAGCTCCCCAATCTTACTGCTGCCCTCACGTTCCCTGTCTTGGGAATGTGGCTGCCCCAGCCCTGCCCTTTCAGCCTCATCCCTTCATTCAGCAAAGGAGAGAAAAAGTCATTCAACAAACTGAGAGTTTTCAACCCTTGGACTTTCTAGACCTCATGCCGATCCACCCAACAGCGTCTTCCCTGAGGAATATGTGTCCGCAGTCACCTCCTACATGGTGGCACCCATCCCCTCACCCTCTCACCCATCAGTGAGTCAGCAGTGAGAACCGTTCCTAAGGGAGAGTGTGAAAGACACATCCTTCCACACGGGGACACACACCAGCTCAGCCCTACACATCATCCCCTCTGGCTCCAAACTGCTGGAGGCTCCTCTCCCTGGTCTGGCCCTGCCGCAGGGACACACCCGGGGGGAGGAGCTGCCGTCTTAGTCTTAGTGGGGCCCAGCCTCGCCAGACAGCAAGCTCTTGTTTCCTCTCCTCCACCGGCTGGAACTGACATGGCCCAGGAACGTGCCGCCTGCGCCCTGGAGCCCGAGCAGGTCCAGCAGCTGCTGCTCTCCTGCCAGGAGGCCAAGAAGTCAGCCTACTGCCCCTACAGTCACTTCCCTGTGGGGGCCGCCCTCCTCACCCTGGACGGGAGGATCTTCTCGGGTAAGGGCGGGCGCCTGGGGACCCATCCCCGGCAGCCTGGATGGGGAAGTCAGAGGAGGACAAGCAGACAAGCAAGAAGGACGCGTGGGAGGCACAGGCCAAGAAGAGGGCAGCTCTGAGAGGGCAATGCTGCCTCTCGCCCCTGCTCTGCTTGCTGTCCGACATGGGGGCTTGAAGGTCTCAAGGAGCCCCAAAAACCCATCTGCTGCTTAAATCCAAGGGCTTTTGATTCTTGGAGGACTGGGAAGCCGGAGGTGGGATGAGGAAGGGAGCTGGAGGGAGAGGCCGGAACGGGAGGCATCAGCAGTCCTCATGTCCTGGGGGGAAGAGGGTTAATTCTCTCTGAGCCCTCTTGTGTCCGGACCCTGCTAAGGCCCCCACAAGTTCTGTCAGCAAGTCCACCCCTCTGACCCACCGACCCAGGTGTTACGCCCATTTTTCAATGCAGAAACTGAGGCCCAAAGAGGTGACACAACCTGCTCAAGGTCACACGGGGACACTGGTGGTGGAACCCATGGCTGGGGTCCCCAAAACCCTGCTTTTTCCCATCACCCACCATGCTGGCAGATGGCTGGGGGAGAAAGCCAGGAATCCAGGTCAGGCAGCTTGTTGATAGGGTGCCGGCCTTGCAGAGAGTCTTGGAGGAAAGAGCCAGGATGGGTTTGGTGACCAGCAATGAGTGCTGGCCTGGCGAGGTGGAGACAGGAATCTGAGTCAGCATGAATCTGTTCCTAAGCAACTTTCCTTTGTTTTGTTGGTTTGTGGGGTTTTTTATATGCTTTTTGGTGAGGAAGGTTGGCCCTGAGCTAACATCTGTTACCAACCTTCCTCTTTTTCTTTTTCTCCCCGCAGCCCCAGTACATAGTTGTATATTCTAGTTGTAGGTCCTTCTAGTTCTTCTATGTGGGACGCCACGTCAGCATGGCTTTTGAGCAGTGTGCAGATCCACGCCCAGGATTTGAACTGGTGAACCCTGGGCGCCCAAAGCAAGCATGCGAACTTAACCGCTATGCCACTGGGCCTGCCCTTGTTTTGTTGGTTTAATAGAAAAGCTCACTTGAGCAAAAGTTCACACTTATTTTTGCTAAGTTAAGGGGGATTCTCTTTCAGGATGGTGGGGAACATGGTGTGGAGGTGGCTGGTAAGCCATGCCCCTCCCCACCCCTCTCCTTCCCACGACCACCCCAGGGCAGATGAGAATTGGCACAAAGGGTTGGATGGGAGTGCCCGGTCCCGGTGCCTAGCCTTCTCCTTCCGCTTGGCAGCAGGTAGTTAAAGGAGCAGAGACTCCCACATGTGCATCTAACTGGTCACCCCCAGCACCCTGGGACAGGTGTGAGCCACTCACCCCCGCTGCTGCTCAGCTGTGAGGCCACTGGGGCCCCTGCCTCCCCTTTGATAGTGCCCCTTCTGGGTTCTCCTTGATGTTCGTGTTATCTCTTTGTCTTTTGAGGTTCTGTCCAATTTCATGAGTCACCTGAGTCTTAAACAGCTTTGAGCTGGAGAAGTAACCTTGAGCGAGTGCTAACACATGGAAGGAACATGCCTAATGTTACCCGTCTAACCCTTACAAGCCTGCAAGGTGGTCGCTATATCCCCACCTTGCAGAGAAGGAAACAGGCTCCGGGAGATTAACCCGTAAGCCCACAGAGCTGGAATGTGAACCCTGAGCTCCTCTGACTCCAAAGTCTGCTACTCTGAGGGGAATAAAGAATCTCTGTGTCCCATGTGGAAATTCAGGCCTGGCCTGGTGGCTCAGATGGGTATTAAACATTAACCACTACCACAAACAACATTGCCACCCACCCTACCCCATGGCTCCAGGACCATGCACACGGAATCAGCTATTGCTTCTTTCCAACGCCTCCACATCCCCTTCAGATGGTATACAGGGAGGGGCCCCCTCCATCCTTGCACTGATTCATTCATTCAACAAGTATTCACCGAGCACCAGTTACGTGCTGGGTAACGTACCAGGTGCTGGGGATATCACAGTGAACAGAAATGATGTAGTCCCTGCCTTCGAGGAGGTCCCTTCCTCTTACGCAGGCCATGGCTCAAAGTGGGAGCCTCACCTGATGACTGTGGGAGTGAATGAATGAAGTGAGCAGGAGGGTAGCCTATTTAAGTCGCAGGGAAGAACCTGTGTCCCCATAGAAAGGGCTGTGCAGTAGGGCTTTAGGGAGGCCCTATGGGATGGGGCGAAGGCTCTGGAGTTAGAGGCTCCTAGGTTTGAATCCTGGTGCTGCTGTTTATCGGCTGTGTGACCCTAGCAAGACCCTTCACCCTTCTGAGTGTCAGCTTACACGGATGTAATGGGAGGATCACTAAGCCGGCTTTTCAGGGCGGCTGTGATCGGAGCGGGCTCGCCTGGCCTGGCGTGGCGGCCAGGGTCCTGCCTGATTGCTGGAGCCGCGCCACCTCCATCAGTGCATATGTTGACTCTCATCCCTGGCTGTGGGGCTTTAAAGGAGCTGATGCCTGTAAACAGATTAGCACAGGTTCTGGCCCACAATAAGAATGTCACAGATGATGGCTGCTTCTACTTCTCCTCTTAAAGGGATGATGATGATGACTGGGAGGCAGATTGCGGAGGGCTTTTGAAGGCTGAGCAGAGACACCGAGATCTGATGAGGTAGGAAGTAGGCAGCCAAGGAATGTTATTAAGAAGAAGAGTAACACAAGAGTGGTGTTCGAGGACAATTCATCTGTTAGTACTCAAGGAGGGCAGAGGCAAAGAGAGTGTCAGGGGGACGATGTCTGTCTTGTTCACTGACCTGTCCACGGTGCCGGCACCTTGCCTGGCCTATACTGTGTCCTCAGGTAAGGTTCAGTGAACGTGTGAATGAATCGCTCGGACTAGGACAGTAGCAGGTAGAATGAAGAGGAAGGAAAGGTCTCAGAGATATCGTGTGGGACAAATGGACCGGGCCTGGGATGGGCAGTATTAGAAACAGAAGAAAGGAATATTGTCCCAGGATTTCCAACCAGAGCAGCCAGGGAGTGACGAGGCACTGACCGAGGTGGGACACTGAAAGCAGAGCTGGCTGATACTGGGGACATGACGGACAGGAACCAAGAGCAATATTAATAGACACCATGGATTGAGCGCTCACTAAGCCCTTCGTATGGAAGATCTCTCGTAATGTGACAGCCACTATGTGAGGGAGGACGATGAGTGTCACATGCATTAGTCAGAGCACTTTCAGTTGTAAATGAGAGAAACCACCCGGAACCGTAATGGGCAAGGGTAGATGTTGTCTCAGAAACAGCTGGATCCAGGAACTCAGATGTCACCACGCCTTTCCTTATCCTTCTGGGTGCTGGTTTCTTTCTCTTACCCTGCAGGTGGACTTTCTCCAGGCATCAGGGAACATAAGTGCAGGCTCGAGATGGAAAAATTCCAGGAAGGGCTCGATTGCACGTGCTCATCCCCGGGCCAATCACAGTTGTGAGGGAGTACTGTGATGGGACCTGCTGATTCGCATATCCTCCTTGATGGGGGTCTGTACCCACAAGGACTGTGGAGGTGCCAAGCAGACCAAAACCATTGCCAAACGCCCCACATTTTATAAATGAGCTATCCGAGATTCAGTTTGATCTGATTCCAAATGCCACACTCTTTCTGCCACAGGGTGGATATGTGGATGGGGCAGAGAGTCGTGATGAGGAGAGGGGAACCAACGGAGGAAGGGCCCCAGAATCTCCGGATCTCCTCACTGAGATGGAAAGCGAGGACAGACGGCAGTATGGCAGGGCTTGGAGGGGAGGGGACCTCGAACCACGGAGGAAACCAGATAGGGCATCAGGGGGTGATCCAGAGACATTAGGAAGCAGCGAGGGCACAGCGGTATTTAGACGCTGTGAGTTTACAGCTTATAGTGGGACAGGTCTGCCCAGTCCTGCGACTTTCTCCAGCTGCACAAAAGACCAGCCCCTCGTGGAATTTCCCCACTCAGAGGCAGCTGGTGTTCCATCCAATTCAAAAGCAGGTCTGGCTGCAAGGACAGCCTTTCTGTCACGATCTCGTAATAACGATCATTTTCCCTCTATTACCCCCAACCCTGCCCAGGCCTTGTGGCCCTCGCAGATGGGCCACCAGAATGGTAGTTCATAGCTACAACAACTACCTTCTGTGACTGCTGTCGGGAGAGCCACGGAGAGAGGAGGAGCTGGGTGAGGTGAGGACACAAAGAGAAGCCTTAAGATGGGACAGAAGCGGGACTGGGCAGGGGAAACGGAGCCAGCCCAGGGCCTCCCAGGTGGCAGCCCTCAGCCAGGGTCTGTGGAAAGCCGATGAGAGATGGTGGAGGAGAATCACGGAGGACCGCTCTTTGCTGGCTCCACACAAGGGATGAGAGTTTCTCTCCTCAGCTCGTGGCCTTGGTCCATCTCTCCCTCCCTCTCTCTAGAAGGACTACGGCATTTTATACATGCCATCGCCATCTAGGGAAAAAAGCACTTTACTGGATCAGCTGTAATGAATTCTGGGAGGAACAAACAACATTTACAAAGACACTTGAGGGGCCCAGCCCAGTGGCGTAGCAATGAAGTTCATGCACTCCACTCCAGCAACTGGGGTTTGCAGGTTCAGATCCTAGGCATGGACCCACACAGCTTATCAAGCCATGCTGTGGCAGGCATCCCACATATAAAGTAGAGAAAGATGGGCACAGATGTTAGCTAAGGGCCAGTCTTCCTCAGCAAAAAAAAGAGGAGGACTGGCAGCAGATGTTAGCTGAGGAGTAATCTTCCTTAAAAAAAAAAAAAAGACAAGGATATCCTGGCTAATTGCTGAATCCAGCTTGCCTTGGCTAAGCCTTCAATCTGGCCCTTCACTCATCTTCCCCAGATCAGCCCCCGCCCTCCTGATTCCTCCCTGGGCTCCCTTTCTCCTCCACGTCACTCTTTGGTGCTTTATATTACCCTCTCTGCACAGCGGTTGACTTACTACAGGCCCCTCAGCCCCACCCACAGCACTTCCAAGTGAGTCAAAGCAGGCTCCCCAGACCAGCTTCCTCTCCTTGCAGCCCTGCCCACCTGCCACACCTGGGGTTCATCCATTGGTGCACTCCATTGTCACTCAACAGTGGCTCATTACAAGGATGAGCTTCACTAACACCTCTGAGTCGACAGCTGAGTTAGGATAATGCATACGTGAAACTGCGTTGCATTGGCAGTGGGCGGGGGGCAGGAACACGGAGAGAGTGTAGTCCTCAAGCACGTGGACATGACGTTTCTCTAGTCCTTTGATTCTCAAATGTGGTCCCAGACCCCCAGCCTCAGCACCTCCTGGGAATTTGTTAGAAATGTGAATTCTTGGGCTCCAACCCAGACCCACTGAAGCAGAAACTCCAGGCGTAAGGCTCAGATATCCATTTTAAGAAGCCCTCCAGAGGATTCTGATGCCCACATGCTTGAGTGTGAGAACTGCTGCTCTAATCTTACTAAGATCCCTCAGAAGAGAGAGTGGGCACAGGCCGCGTGCCATGTTCTCCTGCCCTGCTCTCTACTCTGGGTGACAGGGTCCGAACTGCCTCTTTGTGAACTTTTTCCTTGCTGATGTCTAGATGACATCTGACCCCAACCCTGGCTTAAGCACCAAACCACCTCAAAACATGGCCTCACCGAAATGCCAGAAAGAAAAAGGGCAGTCCTTGTATCCGACAGGCCAGGATGTGAGTCCTGGCTCCCCGCCACCAGCCTCAGCTCTTACCCTCTGCAGAATGGGGTTATAGCAGGAGCTGCCTTACAGTGTCGTTAATGGGATTAATGACATAGTGCAGAGAAAGTGTTCCACAGAGTGCCTGGCAGTAAAAGGAAAGCAATTAGAGAAAAGAATAGCGGCTGGCCTAGCAGTGCAGAAGTGAAGTGCGCACGTTCCGCTTCGGCGGCCTCGGGTTCACCGGTTCAGATCCCAGGTGCGGACATGGCACCGCTTGGCACGCCATGCTGTGGTAGGTGTCCCACGTATAAAGTAGAGGAAGATGGGCACAGATGTTAGCTAAGGGCCAGTCTTCCTCAGGAAAAAGAGGAGAATTGGCAGCAGATGTTAGCTCAGGGCTAATCTTCCTCAAAAAAGAATAAAAGAAAGCAATTAGTAATACTAGCACCATCATCATAGTATTATTTGGTCCAATCTTCTAATTATGGATTCCTCACTTGGCACCATCCCAGCCCGTCTCGTGTGTGTTTTGGAGGAAGTGAAAGCAACACCAGGAATGGAATTGGTTTGTCTAGATAGACGACAGCCTGTTTTCCAGGCTTAGGGAAGCAAAACAAATTGTTTGGCCTTTCAGATTGCAGTTCATGGCCAAGGACTTCCTTCCTCTTTTTTCCCTGTTTTTAAAGCAAGACGGAAATTACGCTTGAACTTGCGAGACGCCCCAAATACAGTTATTCCCTTGCATCTCAGAGCTCTAGCACTGAAGTGGGAAATTTCATCATTTGATAATAAGTAACTGGGAGGCTCGTTGGCCCCACTGTTCTAGGCCCTGGGCATGCTGCAATGTACAGCATAGACAAAGTCCCTGCCCTCAGGAAGTTTACACTACAATGGAGGAATTAGATAATAAAGACATATATTTAGGAAGGTGTTAAGTGCTATGAAGAAAATTAAAGCAGGATAAATGGATTGAGAGGGTTGGAGGCAGTGGTGGGAGGAGGCAATTTTAGATAGCGCAATCACAGAAGGCTTCTCTGAGGAGGTGACATTTGAGCAGAGACCTGAGTAGAGCCAGCTATGTGCATATAGAGAGTAAAGAGTTCCAAGCAGTGGGAACAGCCAGTGCAAAGATCCTGTGGCAGAAGCGTCCTAGCCATCCTTGGGAACAGCTGCAAGGCTAATAGGCCTGGAGAGCAAAATGAGATGAGGTCCAAGAGGTAGGCAGGTTGGCACTATATTATGTAAAAGCTTGTAATCCTGAAAGGATGTCCAAGTGCCTGAAGGACAGAAATAGGGCCACTGTCATGCCTTGTCTAGACGGAGCAGAAGCTCAGTCACCCAGGCCTACCGCCACCAGAACCCTGACTTTCAGGCAATTAATCAGAGCACTTAGCAGGCTTTGTACTGACTGCTTTACACGTGCCATCTCAACTCATCCTCACGGGAGGCCTCTGTGGAGGGCACTGCCATTGTCAGCTCACGGATGAGGACACTGAGCCTCCAGAAGGTTCAGTCCCTTCCCCAAATTCTCAGAGCCAGTGGGACAAAGGGTCGCAGGGTAGAACCTCGGGGCTCTTCCTACGAAGGCCTCTCTGAGCAGCGGGGCTTGTAAGCGTGCTGCCTTCTGAAACAACGCCTCTCTCTTTCTAACCGGCCTGTTGAAATCTTGCCCACAGGAAAGGAAGGTTTCTCTGTATGAGGCCATTCCGCACTTCACACGCAGACACGGGCAACCGTCCTGACAGACTGGGCCTTCTGCAATTTGGCAATTTGCTTCAGCAGCTACTCCATAAAACCCAAGATTTGTATGAATCACATTGAATAGGGGAAGTGCCCACGAGTCAGGGACAAGGCAGGGCTGGGAGGATTGCTAGATGGAGAGTGGGGAGCAAGCCTGGCAGGAATCTTAATCTGGGAGAGACAATGAACCAATTAAAAAAAAATAAGGGGCCAGCCGGGTGGCATAGTGGTTGGGTTTGCACGCTCTGCTTTGGTGGCCTGGGGTTCGCAAGTTCAGACCCCGGGTGTGGACCTAGCACCGCTCATCAAGCCATGCTGTGGTGGTGTCCCACATAAGGTAAAGGAAGGTTGGCACAGATGTTAGCTCAGGGCCGATCTTCCTCACACACACACACAAAATTATTAATTTAATTTAATTAAATAAAAATCTGGGAGAGGCAGAAGTCAAATGCAGTGAGGTCAAAGTCAGCAAAGGTGGGAAGGGCAGATGTGGACGGGCAGGCAAGGATGGGTTTAAAGGAAGTCTTTTCAGGTGGCCATCAGGAACCTGTCCGGGGAGTCTAGCTGGGGAGCAAGAGAGATGTATTCATTTATTCACTTAACTTTCATTGACCCAGCAGAGAGGCTGAGCAATAAGGGGCCAGCTGTCCTGGCCACTGTAACTCACATGTGGATATGGACAAATGCTTGGCCAAAGCAGGTGGGCAATAAAAGTTAACCACTCCTTGATCACTCCCTGTCCTGCATCCCAACTGTATTGACAGATTTCTTTATGGTTGCAAGTGATAGAAATGCAAGTGAACTATTTTAGACAAAAGCAGAGTGTATTGGTTCATATAACTAACTATAGGAAGAGCTGGAGTGTGGCTGGGCCTCAGGGACAACTGGCACCAGGCCGGACTTTTCTGGCCATCTCTCATCTCATCTCTCATCCGTTCTTCTGAATGTCCATTTCATTGTCTCCTAATGATCTCCTCCATAACGAATGGAAACTAGGCCACCAGCAGGACCCAGGTCCACACTCTTAGTCTCACAGAGGAACTGTATTTCCTGCGTGGAGAAGAACTCTGATTGACCCAGCGTGGGTCAGGTGCTCATCCTTAGACCAATAAGAAGGTCATGTGAGAAAGGGTGGCCACTCCCACTTGAACTATGCACTGAGGAATGAGGTAAGACTCATTCCCCAGGAAAAAAAAGGAGGAAAAAGTGCTAAATTATCAAAACAATAAATGCTCAGTATAGTCTGCTCTTTGGTGCCCAGGATACACACCCGCCCTTCTTCCCAAAAGTGTAATTCCAAATCTGTCCCCACCTAACCCCACACAGCCTGTTAGTGAACACCCCCCGGTACCCCAGCAGGAGACTTGCAGCGAAGGTACCCAGCTGTCCAGGGACATCCATTCTCCTCCATCAGTGGGACAGGAGTGCCCGTGATCCTGAGAACCGTGACAATGGGTAGGGGGTTAAAGGATTAATTTGTGATTAATTTAACCCCTCCTCCTCACACGTCGATGTGAATAAGGAAGGAGCAGAAAAATAGGGGACAAAAATATATGAGTAGAGAATGACCAAACACTTTCCAAATTTGATAAATACAGGAGGAACAAAATACTGCATAATCGCAATGAAAGCTCAGACTTAGAAAAAGGGTGTGTAACAGGTGAGGAACAGACTAAGTTGAGGAAACAAACGCAAATGCCGCGACTCGAACAAGACCCCTGCTCACTCGGGTCTCTCCTCTAACAGAGCAGGGCAGGGCTGGAGTCTGGGCATGCGGACTCTTCTGCTCCCCTCAGCTCTGCAAGGTGGTTCAGGAGATCAGCTTCCTTCTGTCTTGATGTCCTGCCATCCACAGAGTGGTGTCCTCATCCCCCTGTTCAAAACTGGCACACGTCATCACATCCATGTTCCAGCCTCTGGGAAAGGGAAAGATGAAGCGGGGGGCAAGCCACGTCCCCAGAAAGATGTCATGTAGAAGTTGCACCCATCACTTCTGTCCACATCCCATTGGCCAAAACTGCGGGACTACACGCCTCCAGGGAGGCTGGGAACTGTATCTCCAGCTGGGTAGCCATGTGCCCAGCCAAAGTGCAGTGGATTCTGTTGGGAGAGGGAACACTGGGAATGGTCTTTGCCACAGGCCCCCTGTGGCCTGTAAATATCTGTGCACATCCTTCTTCCCACACATAGGACCCACTTCCCACCCCCTCAAGGGAGGCCACCCAAAGTCCCACCCAGTCACTGCTCCAGCTCCAAGAGTAGGATCTCATGGTGGTGCACAGTCCCCTTCCTTGGGTCCAGATGTGGCCCTGCTGTTTTAGTGGCCAGAACACTAAAAAGTAATCGTCTGCCCGCCACTTCACACCCACTCCTGCAATACACGACATGAAGCCGGAAGGGATAACAGTCATCAAATCACCTGTTAGGAAAAGGGGAGAACAGAGAGCACACGGCGACCACTCGTCCACGCAGTTATCACCCTCGCCGGGCAAGAAGGCTGCAGACTCCCTGCTCTGGCGGACACTCTGCCTCTCTTTTCTGCTCTGGGGGTAACCTCCTTGTCCACTGTCCGCTGAGGCCCCTGGCTTGGCCCTCTGGGAGCTTCTTCCTTGACCATTATCATCCTCAGGCCCACATCTGAGTGGGGGTTGGAGAGAACGCCCTCTTTGGGGCTATACAGCTCTCTCAGCTCACTTCCGTTGGTGGAGTTATGGGGGTCTAGAGCTTTATTTAGGGATGGAAAAATCACAGGATTTTGCAGGCCAGACTTTTGGCTTCTTTGGCTCTCCAAAATACCATAAACTTGGAAACTTTCCGGTCTCTTTGCTTCCAATCCCTTTCAGACAGGAGTGCCACACCCAGAGATCCTTGCTGGACACGGTTCTCAAGCTACCAACTCTCCTTTTTCACTAACTGGCTTTCCTGCCCAGCCCAGCCCTGCTGCCTCATTTAAACACTAGCTACCTTGAGGTACCAGAAACAAAAGGCTGGGTGGGAAGATGACATTCTTAATCAGAACTTTGCCACAGAGCTGACTCCCATTGCCATTGCCAGGTAGAAAAATCCTAATGATCGGTGACGTGGTCTGCCTTCCGGGTTATTGCAGGGTGGGCCTTCACCAATCTGATGGAGTGGCAGGGGCCCTCAGCTTTCCACCTGCCGTGTCTGTATTTTCTTCTACGTTACCTAATTGATAGGCCAAGGCCACATGTTGTAGACTTTTATGGTAAACCCGCATCCCACCTTCAGTCTCTGTATTAGTCAGATATAGATTAAGCTGCTGTAACAAAAATCCCCAAGTAAAATGACCCAAACATGGCAGAATTCTTTTTCTCTCACGTAACAATTCAGAGTAGGCCGTGGGTCCAGGGCAAAAGGCAGCTCAACTCTGCGCCATGAGTTGACCAGGACACCAAGTTTCTTCTGTCTCATTGTTCCTCCATCCCCATGACCACAAACCACATGGTCAAAGCTGTCACCCCATCACAGCCTGTGGAGGGGCAAGGAAAGGAAGTAAAGAGTGAGCAATCTTTTTACAAAAAATGTGATCCAGAAATCTCTTTGGACCACATATTGGCCAAACTTAGTCACATGGCCACGCTATGCAGTGAGGGAGTCTGGGAAATATAGTCTCTGGCTGAGTGGTCATGTGATCTGCCATATTGGAAGGGGGGGTCACTTGTATTACTTAAAGGAAGGAGGAGAAAATGAATACCGGGGAACAATTACTGTCTCTGCCTCAGGGAGAAAGGCAAGCTGCGAAGGGTGATACAGACCATATAACATATCCTGATGGCCAGGGGAAGGCCCAGCTCCTGGAGCCATTTGTCCATGGCCTTCCCTCCCTGCATATGGGGAGTTTCTTAGTCAGTCAACCTGGCTATGCCAACGTTTTATCTCCTGGGAGCAGGCCTTGCCCTCTGTCCCCCAGGGTTACCCCTGAGAGGGACACTGGGGAGGACTTCCTGACTGCAGGCTGTGCCACCTTCACAGCCTACCTCTCACGAGAAGCCTGGGGTTGCCTTAAGTCTTGTGCAATCACAGACACCTTTTGCAAAGCTTGGGTGTTTTTCTTGGGTTAGTTTGATGGTTTTGACAGTTTGTTTTGAAACACACGTCACATAGAACCCTGGTTGATCTCTGATAGCTGATAACCAGCACCAACAATTTTGCCTAGGCCCAATCTTTGAATCAGGAGCCCCTCCCGCCACCACTGCCACCAGCAGGCAACCCACCCTGTGGCTTCTGTCTCTTAGATTCAGGGGTGGGGGTCCGGCTTACCTTCTTAAGCTTCGGCATCTCTCTTGACCTTGACCTCCCCTGGGGAGATGAGGCCGGGTTCATACGCCCTGTTACGCTGCCCCTGCTCCCAGGCTGTGCTTCGAGATGGAGGCCTTGGGTAAGTGAGGAGAGAGGGCATTTCTTGGGCAGGGTCCCTGCCCCAGTGGGTCACAGAGCCTCCCGCCCTGGGTCAAATTGCCTTCTCCTTCTCCCCACCCCATTCAGGGCAACAGGTCCCTCCCTGCCCTGGAATGGGGCAAGCCTCTTGCTCAACCTGTGCAACAGGAAGGGCTTCCGCTCACTAGGCGCTCCTTTCTTCTCAGGGTGCAACATAGAAAACGCCTGCTACCCTCTGGGCATCTGTGCTGAACGGACTGCCATCCAAAAGGCCGTCTCAGAAGGGTACAAAGACTTCAAGGCAATTGCTATCGCCAGGTGAGTGGGACAGGCGGGTCGCAGCAATATCCATTCATCTGTCCAGCCAACATCCACCACGCACCTATCATTCGTCCATTCATTCACCTAAAATATGCTTATGCCGCACTTCCTAAGTGCCAGACACCTTATAGGACGCAGGGCTGAGTGCTGAGGATAAGGAGATAGACAAGAAATAGACTCTGCCCTCGGCGAGCCGAAGAACAGGGAAATAACCAAGGCAACTTGAAGACAAGGCAGGTGTGTTTTTGTTCTGATAACGGCACAAAGTGCAACAGAAACCCCATGAGAGACAACAGAAAAGCAGCATAGAAACCCACAGCTGCAGGGACCTAAGAATCACCTGGTAGGGACTCCCCGCGCCCCGTTTTACAGCTGAAGAAACTGAGGCCCAGAGAGGCTGAGCAACACTCCCAGGAGTTGGTGGCAGAGCCAGGACAAAACCAGATCCTTAGAGTCTCACTCCAGGCTCATTCCATTGCACCATGCTGTGCCGGGAACTCAAACGCCATTCCCCGCTCTCCTTGAGCTGACGCTGGGCCCCTTCATTGTGCCAGCTGACTCCTGCCCTGGGTGTCAATCGCCTCTAGTGCCAAGAACCAGAACACAAAGACAAGCTGGCACAGTGACAGCCAGGTAAACTCTGGTTATGGTTCCAACTCATCTAATCCCACCCAGGTTCCAGCTGAACCAGAGCACTGAGCAACACGCTCTCTGTGCCCCAAACATCACCATGCAAGTCCCCGCGTGCTACCCTCAAAGGATGCTCCTTGAGTTCTCATTGGCTCTGGACTCAGACTCAGTGGCTTCAGGATTCAAGCATGCGAAGGGCTCTTTGACTCGGACCCCATCACACTCCTGATCTAATGGTGAATTGCTCTTGCGTGTACCTGTGCCTTGTCTCAGAGAGTTGTCTTAGCACGTTAATGGTGCAGGGGAAACGACATGGGAAATGTTGAACGCACCCGGAGAGAGATGGCATGGCCCACCCAATCTTGGTCTTTGGGGACGCCTGGGTGCAGTGAGTTCTCTCTTCCTTGCAGTGGAGCTGCATGACCTTTCTGGCAGAAATGCAAGCTGCGGAGATTGATGGGAGCCGTGTGACAGAAACGAGCTTCCATCTCTTTTATAAGATCCTAATCTCTGCCTCGGTCTGGCCCTGAGGGGGACCAGGTTATTGAAGGTTTTGTCCTGAGTAACTGGAGCCAAGGTCCACTTAGGGAGAAGGGCCCCGGCTTCCGAGAGCCCTCCCTGTGGCCAAGGTCAGGCCTGGCGTCCCTTCAGCTTTGGGAGAAATAGATGAGGCCGTGCTGGGAACATTCTGTGCGGACGAGCAGACATCAGGATGTGAATTACACTTTATTAAAAGAAAGTTGGGGAAGAATAACTCAATTGCAAAGCTGATCCAAGAAAATAATGATATTCTGGGGAAAAACAGGCCAAAGTCAAAGAAAGGATGATGGCACGGTAGCCTTGCTCTGTTTAGAATGTTCCAAATGAAAGGTGGTTTCTCTTGGTCATTATCTACTTTTAAACATGACCAGATATTGCTAGCAATGATTAGCAAATGTCCTTATTTACACAAAAGTCATGGGTATAGCCCTGGCTCCGGGCTTAGTGAGACCTGGTTTCAAATCCTGCTCCCCTGCGGACCTCCGCTGGGCTTCACTAGGAAGCACGTTGCTGCTCCTCTCTGAGCCTGGCTTTTCATCTGTGAAGTGGAGGAGAGCAATACTTCCCCACTGGGCTGTTGCGAGGACTCGGGAAATTATTTCTGTAAGGCTCCTGGCACAGAGAATGCAATAATTAAAACTCTTGTTATAAGTTATCGTTATCACTTCTGCAAACTGCAAAACTACCGAAGGCAGAGGCCGCACATCCTGGGTTCAGATCCTGTTCTGCCACTCACCAGCTCTGTGACGTTGGGCAGGTCACGTCACCTTTCATGATCCGTAACACGTGGATGACAAGAGCACCTACATTCCTCTGCCTTATAGGGTTGTTAGGGGATGAAATTAATTAATGCACCTAAGGTCCTCAGCATAGTGCCTGGCACAGGGAAGTGCCATGTAAGTGTAAGCCATTATTACTATCGGCTGCCTCCCAGTTTCCAGAGCTACGCTGCTTGCATGCACCATCTTGTAACTTTTGGTGGTTGAACCCTAGGCCAAATCCAACTTCCCAGTGGAGTGTATGTTCACTGCCCACCCCCTCCAACTTGAAAACCCTAATGCAGCAGGTCATCTTGTCCAAGGAGCTATACATTGGGCAGTTAGCCATGCATCTCACAAGACTGGGAAAGGAAGTGGTGATCTTGGCAAGGGCCAGATCATACAAGGCCTTACAGGCCAGGGAAAGGAGGCTGAATTTCACTCAGAGCACCTCTCCCATGGTGCTTCCTACAGTCTACCTGTGTTATGGCATTTACATGCAGATTTTATCTCCCCCTCCAGCCAGTAAGGGCCCTGAAGGCAGGGATTCTCTGCTTGGTCTTTGTTGCTCTTTCTCCCTGCCTGCCTAGCACTGAGCAGGCTCTCGGTCAACATGGGTGAAATGAAGTAAAAATAACATAGAGTCCAACCTCCAAAGAGCTTATGAGAGGCTCTGGCTGTACCACCTGTCACCTGGTCCTCACAAGGGTTAATTAGCTTCAGTAGACATCCAGGGCAGGGGTCCCCACCTTCTCATATCCCCATGGATTTTTGTTCTGAAGCTGGCAGTGTGCTCAGAAAGGACCCCACCTTTCCATGGAGCAGAACCGTTCTTTGACTGGACCCCCCCCCCCCCACCTACAAAAGGGAGTTATCATGAGGATTAAATAAAACAGCACCCCAGCCCTCTGCCCTCAGCTGCTCTATTACACTCACGGCATCTACCTCTAGCCCCACTTCATGCACGGCTGGTCAGTCGGCCGGTCGGCTGTCCGGCTCCCCTCCATAGTCAAAAACTCCTGCATGCAATGAATTTCATCTGTCCGTTCACTGCTGCATCCCCAGCACCCACAGTGCTGGGCATATAGTACATGCTCAATAAATATGTGGTAATTAATGAGATCATGTATATAAAGGGCTTTGCAGGATGCCTGGCATATTCTAGGCACATATTAAACAATGTGATATGGGGCTGGCTTGGTGGCACAGCAGTTAAGTTTGCACATTCCACTTCGGTGGCCCAGGGTTCGCCGGTTCGGATCCCAGGTGCAGACCTATGCACCACTTGTCAAGCTGTGCTGTGGCAGGCATCCCACATAAAAAAGAGGAAGATAGGCACGGTTGTTGGCTCAGAGCCAGTCTTCCTCAGCAAAAAGAGGAGGATTGGCAGCAGATGTTAGCTCAGGGCTAATCTTCCTCAAAAAAAGAGAAAAAAAAAAAGAATAAACAATGTGATAAGTATTAATATATAATAAGACAAATGAATTATAAACTAGTACACAGAACACATAGTATATAATAAAACAGTATTTGATAAGGTACTAAAATTCTGACAGAGCTTATCTATGGAAAGGAGTAAGTGCCCAGTAATTAGCATGGGCCATAACAATATGCATACAGCATTCTAAAATTTATGAAGCCTTTCGTATACCTTATCTCATTTTATCTTTCAACAACAACGTAGATGACATTATTGCCCACATATTATAGGCAAAGAAATGGGCCTTGCATGGGTTAAAATGACTTGGTCAAATTGGCAAGAGGAGGAGCTGACGAAGAAGCGAACTTTAAATGCTGTTTTTCCAGAGGTATCACAGAGCTGTGGGTCTAGAAGAGCAAGGACGATGGCAGCTGCTGGCTTAACCTCTGGTGCCCCAGCAGGCTTGGAGGCTCTGACAGTTAAATCTACTTTCTTTAATCACCGTCCTCCACCCTGCTCAGAGCTGGAGGACTGCCCGGAGGTGCCTGAATTCTCAAAAACAAAGGATTACCCCTCCACTATAAGCTTGTCTTCTCCAGACTTTCTCCAATGCAAGGAGCCCACTTTTCTCTTTGTTTCACATATGCCTCATTCTTTCATGCCTCAGGGCCTTTGCACATACTATCTCCGTTTCCTGCAACACAGAAAAACTTGGGGCTTCAGAAGAGCACCTCTGTTACTTCATCTCACTGAACCTCTTTCCTGGTCATTCTGACCCTCAGGCTGTACTGGGAATGAAATGAAATAATGTATATCGAGTGCCTGGCACAGAGCTTGGAGCATAATAGTTGCTCACTAATGGTGGCTTATGAACGCTACACTTCCTCCAAGGACTGAGCCACATGCCACCTCCTCCACAAAACATTCTCCTCACTCTGTGGGCAGGGGCTGTCTCCCTCTCACCCTGCATTCCTATTGCATTGTGTTTAAAATGATAACATCCAGTTTTCCATGTTGCCCACTGGGCTGAACAATCTCTTTAAGGCGAGACACAAATTCTCCTTAACCTTTGTGTCCCTGGGGTGTGGGTGACTGTAAGCGATCACTAACGTTTACGGAATGCACTAATGCTCCTGCCCATGGCCTTGCTTCTTGGAAGTGTGGGAGGCCAGCACATGCTTCTTCTCCACCTCGAGGACACGGCGCGTCTGTGACTCAGGAGCTGCCCGATGGGGTTTGACCTCATCTGGAGCAGGGCAGGACTCGGGGCCTGAATCTCAGCATTTGTGGTCGTGCCTCAGGAGACACTGATCCATGTCTGATTCTCTACTTCCCCAGTGACCTGCAAGATGACTTTATCTCCCCGTGCGGGGCCTGCAGACAAGTCATGAGAGAGGTAAGCAGCTTCTCTTTCTTTCTGGAATGTAAAGGGATGCCTCCCTGCTTTCCCAGCCTACGGGAGCACGGCCAGGCCGCCAGCTGGGAGACACAGCCACTGTCCTAATTGCTACGTTGGCCGGCTTCTAAGGCCTCCCCAAGCTTGCATGAATCATTGGAAATTATTCTTTCCTTCGACAAACACTTACTGAGTGTCTAGTCTGTGCTAGACATGGAGCTTGCGCTGCGAGCCACGGTGAAAAGACAGGCCAGGCCCCGTCCTCACAGAGTCACCGTCTGGTGCAGGAGACTGACGATAAACGAGGAGCAAAAGAAATCAACAGTAGAGTTTCTGAGAGTGATGAGGGCTATGGAAAAAGAACGCAGAAAAAGCAGTCAAGAGTGACAGAAGGGGCGGCAGGTGATATTCTAGATCAGGGTGGGAGGTCAGCAAACGAGGGCGCCAGCCTTCTGCTTCTTGTTGTCAACTCAAAAAGCAAATTTGCCTGTTATTTTATCTCAGGATGAGTTTATGTGGGAATAGCCAAAAGAATTGTAATTCAAGATGTACATGCTACGGCAAACCACAGGCAAATCCAGCAAATAAGGGAGCGGCCTTTCAAGGGCAAAAGGGGGCGGAGGGAGGGCCTGTCCTTAACGAAAGTCCACTGGCGGAAGGCGACAGTCGAGGGCTGCAACGGCTTCTCATTGGCTGAGCCTCGACTTTTCTCATTGGCTGAGCCTCGGCTTTTCTCATTGGCTGAGCCTCGGCTTTTCTCATTGGCTGAGCCTCGGCTTTTCGCATTGGCTGAGCCTCGGCTTTTCTCATTGGCTGAGCCTCGGCTTTTCGCATTGGCTGAGCTGTTCCCAGGTCGGGAGAGAAATCTTCCTTCCGTAGGACAGAGTTTTACTTCCGGTGCAAGATGCCAGTGTGTGCCTCTTCCTTTTTGGTGTAATTGACAATATCCAACAGAGCATGAGAGCCCCGCTACGGCTCCCCCTTCCCCACTCCAATTTAGTTAAGGTTTCTTTTATTAATTTCTACGTTGTAAATAAAGTTTTATTGGCACAGGGCCACATCCACTTGTTCAGGTTTTGTCTGTGGCTGCTTTGGCCCTACAACAGCAGACCACATGGCCCATAAGGCCTAAAATATTTACTATCTGGTCCTTTACAGAGAAAGGTTTGCCAACTCCTGCTTTAGATGGCCAGGAAAGGCCTTTATTTGAAGATGACGTTTGAGTAGAGATATAAACAACGAGCAAAGATGAGGCAGACAAAGGCCTAGAGAAGACGTGCGGGCGGAAGAGCCAGGACGTTTAATGCCCGTACACCTGGTGGGTTTGATGAGTTGCAAGAAGGCCAGAGAGGCTCGAACACGGTGAGTGAGGGGGAAAAGCAACAGGACATGAAGTCAGAGGGTGGGCAGGGACGCCATGGCACACGGCCTTGGAGGTCACGGGCCAGAGGGTATATTTTATTCTAAGAATAAAGGGAACTGAGTTGTACCCATTAAAATGGTAAATCTTATGTGTATTTTAGCACGTTAAAAAAAAAGTTGGGGAAAAAAAGGAGTAAAGGGAAGCCACTGTGTGTTTTTAAGAAAGGAGTCAAGGGGCTGGCCCAGTGGTGCAGCAGTTAAGTGCGCACGTTCCGCTTCGGTGGCCCAGGGTTCGCCGCCTGGATCCTGGGTGCAGACGTGGCACCGCTTGGCAAGTCACCCTGTGGCAGGCATCCCACATATAAAGTAGAGGAAGATGGGCACGGATGTTAGCTCAGGGCCGGTCTTCCTCAGCAAAAAGAGGAGGATTGGTGGTGGAGGTTAGCTCAGGGCTAATCTTCCTAAAGAAAAAGAAGGAAAGGACTCAAGGGATCCGATGCACTTTATTCAAAGGTCATCTTGATGGAAAGCCTCAGTTTTTCAACTCTAAAAACAGAAGGGTGGATCCCAGCATGAGTTCTTAATCTGGGCCCAGAGGAAGTTTTTGACGTGTGTGTGTACATTTGGGGAAGGAGAATGTGAAAATGCTGAGAATGACATTCTCAGCAGCTTTTGTGGACTCTCAAAGAGGTCTCTGTCCTCCATAGTCTCGAAAGGTTAAAGCCACCAGCTTGGAGAATCCCACAGGACCCAGGGCTCTGATGCGACATCATTAGCCCCTCTAAATACATCGTCTCATTTAATCCCCACCTCCAGCCTATGAGAAAAGGATGTGTCATTGTCCTCATTTCTCAGAGAAGTGAAATGACCTGCTGAAGGACACACAGCCAGTCGGTGACGAGCTGGCATTCATGGTCAGTTCAGGCCGACTGCAAAGCTGCCTCCTCACGGCTGCCTCCCTGCCTCTATGGTTCTGTAAATGGGACAGATTATTTTCAGCCTCAGAGGAGACATAATGACACTTTGCAGAACAGGAGCTGCTGGTTCCACGCGGGCTTCTGCTTTTGGAGTTGTGTAAATTCAGGGAAGAGAGGGTTGTATCAGTTTTGCTTTTGTGCCCTTAGGTTTCAAAGCATCTGTCGAACATGGCAGACATCTCCATCTTCCTCCCGCTTCTTGCCAGGACTGCAAACCAGACACAGTTAGCAGAACTCATTTCCCAAATCAGATGAAAAGTGTCACCACGAAGGCACTGAATTCACAATATGGACTTCGGGTCACTTCAGAGGGGCAGAAATGGCTGCCCAGCTCCAGGGCCTGTCTCAGGCCATGTGAGGAATCCACATCAGGACGCCCCCTCCCTGGTCCCCGAGGTTCAGCTGCTCACTGCTATTTTCTCCAAACAGATTAGATGGTGGCAAACGAGAGAAGGCAAGTGAAAAAGCTGAAGGAAAGAGAGGCAAAACTGGAAAAAAGAAAAAAAAAAAGCAAATAGTAAGAAATGAGGCTTGGGGGCCAGGGACTGCTTTGCAGACTTTGCCCTGCTAAGCCTCAGTTTTCTCATCAGTAAAATGGGGATAAGAATAGCACCGACCTCAGAGAGTAGATATTGACATCAGGCGTGTGCGGTATCTCGTGTGTGCCGAGGCGGGCGTGCAGCTTCTGGTTGTGAGGAGTAAATGTGATACTGTGAAGGAAGTGGATATTGTTTTCCTTCATAACAGGAGGAGGTCTGGCCCCAGAAGTTGAATATTGTTCTTATAAAGCCCTGGTGAGTCCTTAATCACAGATCGGAGCGTTTATTGCCCATTAACAATATGCCAAGCACTCTAACTGCTTAACACACATTCTTTCATTGGCTCGTCTCTCAAGCTCTATGAGCACAGTATGGGTATTGTCATTCCCATTTCACAGATGAGAAAACGGAGGCACAGAGAGGAACGTTAGACCGTAAGAGGGAGAGCCAGGCTCAAACCCAGGTCAGTCCTAACCCCTCGGCAACACTGCCTCCCTCATGCTGGCTTTGCCTCTTTTCCAGTTTGGCACCAACTGGGATGTCTACATGACCAAGCTGGATGGCACGTATGTTGTCAAGACAGTCCAGGAGCTGCTGCCCGCCTCCTTTGGGCCCCAGGACCTGCAGAAGATATAGCGACAGTTGGAGAACATCCACCTCCTGGGAGAGCCTGGGTTCCCACCTGTGCTTAAGGGGGCAGCCACCTGGAAAACTCCATGAAGATGTTCTCACGGACCTGGGGACATCTGTCAAATGGGCTCCAACCCTACAGGGGCTGGGCAGAGATGGCTTTTCCGAATTACACTCAAGAAACACGGTCTTCCACTGAAGTGATAAAGGGTTTCTCTCCTGCCTGGGCCACCCGCCTTGCAACCCACCTTGTCCTCCCCAGGACAAGAGCACCCCATGCTTTCCTTTCCTTCTCGAGAGCCCTCTTTAAAGTTCCAGCCTAGTCTGGACTGCCTCCCCACCAGCCATCCCAAGGTTCTACCCTGTTCTGAGCGACTTTCCTAATTATAATCGTCACAGAACATCCTGATTCGGGAGAGTGTGTTTTGTTCCGTGTCTCTGTCATTGCTCGCAGCTCTTAGGAAGTACAGGGTGATCTGTCTTCACAGAAAGACTTGGACACTCACTGCTGGGGGAGGAAATGGGCATCTTGGAACTGTATATCCTTTGGGGTAGAAAGCTGAGTTTTTAGGCTTCTTGCCCCTGCGTTCTCCAGATGGGAGGCCCTGCTGGGTTGGGCCTAACTGCCACTGGCCATTCTACAGTCTGTTTTGGGTTCAGTATAGACCTGAGCACTGGATGCCGTCCACCCCCATGGCTGTCTCTGAGATTCCAAAGCATAAAGGAGGAGGCATGAATTTGTCTAGACAGCACAACAAATGTTTCTCTGAGGACCTACTGTGTGTCAGGTACTTTCATGTGGATTATTTTTTATTTAAAGTGCTCAATGACCTGGTGAAGTGCCTTACAGCTGAAGGCACTGGGCTTCAGAGAGGTTGAGTGACTTGCTCTAGGACTACAGCAAAGCTTAGACCAGAATCCAGGTCTCAGGACTCCCAGTACCGTGTGGACACAGTGCATTCTCTTAGCCATGCGCTGTGCTAATGTGTTTAATGTATATGAACCCAGTTAGTCCTCACTTGTAAGCTCAAAGTATATTGCTCTCACTTTGCCAATGAGCAAGTGGAAGTTCAGAGAAGTTAAGTCACTTGCCCAAAGTGGCACAGCTAATATGTGGCAGAGCTGGAATTTGAACCAGATCTGTCTGACTCCAAGTGTTTTTTCCAGTCTCTCACAGCTGATGTCTAGCTGCCTTTATTTACTGAGTGTCTTTTATATGCCAAATACTGCAGAGAGCAAGACATATAAGAAACAGGCTCTGTCCTTGAGGAACTCGCAGTCAGACAGGAAGAGAGAGGTGTAAACAGGTCTAATGCACAGAAATACACACTGTGATCCAGGCAGTTACCAAGTGCAGGGTGGGCACGGTGGGGGACCCCTTCTTGGGTGTGAGGAGGGCCAGGGAGGGAACTAATTCATTGGTGCATTGGTTATCAAACATTCTGTCTCTCTCTCTCTCTCTCTCTCACACACACACACACACACACATGCACACGTACATACACACAATTAGGAAAGTGACGACTGAATGAGGGTGGGAGCCGGGCTGGCCCTCTGAAGGCGGCTGATAGATCTGGCTGTCCTCCCTAGAGGAGGTGGCCTTGGTGCCAGCCTCAGTGGCAAGAATAGAGTGTAGGTTTTCTCTTTGCGAGGCAAGCAAGGAAGTGGACAGGTAAGTCGCCCCTTCCGTGGGAGCCCTTTCCGCTCAGATCCAGAGCACCTGCAGGTGTCACTGTCTGGTAAGACTGGCTCGTTCCCAACACACCCAGCCCCGCTTGCCGCCATCTTGGGAGACAGGATCGTAATTCCAACGTCGCTGCATGATGCAGACTCCAGCCTGCCTGTCTTTAGTGATGACTAGGGGGCCTTCCATATGCTCTCCTTAATGTTCTCAACAAAGTGGCTGGAAAAAACAAAAAAGAGAGAAAGCTGGAAGAAAATATGCCAAGATAGTAACATCAGTTAAAATTCTGCTTGATGGGAATATAAATTAGTGATTTTTTTTCTTTCTGTATTTTTTAAATTTCCAAAGCATTTTTAAAATTTAATAAGAAAAGAATGGTATAGCATAATGGTGACAGGTTTGATCTTTGGAGTTGCCAGCCCCAAACCGTGTGGCTCTGGGCAAGTTATTTCATTGCTTTGAGACCCAACTTCCTCCTCTGTAAACAGGGATGATAGTACCCGCGCATAGCGTTGTGCACAGTGAATGAAACAATGTGATATTAAGCCCAGGGTTGGACCCTCAGCAAGCTCTTGATAAATGTCAGCTGCGACTTTTATTAAGAGTGACAAATTTTGGTCCTTTGAGGATGGATTTGATTTTTGCAAACAGGCAACGGTCTTTTTAGCCAAGCTTTTCAATCATTTAACAGTTACTTCTTGAGTGCTACTGTGTTCCAGGGCTGGGGCCAGATCCTGGGGACACAGCAGTGACTATGACAGACGAAATCCCTGCTCTCACGGGGCTCTCAGTCTCCCGGTGGGAAGTGAGATCCCCATAATCTCATGAAATAAGTACTTCATTCCAAGCGTCACCTAAGTGAAGAAAGCACTCTGGGAGTAGCAGCCTAAGAATGGGCAAGACAGCCCTGAGGAGGGCATGTTCCAGTCTGAGCACAAGAAGGGTCATCCGGTTAAGCAATGGGGCTTGGGGAGGGCCAAAGAAGGCAGACTGACCAACAGACTAAGCCCAGTGTGCCTACACTTCGTGGAAATACAGGGGAAGCCAATTCACAAAGGAAGATTCCAGAAATTATTTGAACAATGTCCTCTTGGAAGAACAACACCCATTTGGCTGGAGAGGGGCTGGGGCATTTGTTTAAAAGAAAAGCATTTTCATTTTGCAGTCCCCCTGTTCTGAGGGCCTGTGATTTCAGAGCAGCACACGCTCTATTGTTCAGTATGTCTGTGTTTTTTAGGACCCTAAAGCCCAGTTCCAGATTCTCATGGAAATGAATAGAAGCATGTATATTTGTGCTGCTCTCGCCAGCTGCTGCTAATTGCTTATGTAAACTATGACATTCTTTGGGATTTCCTTTTGGCGGAGAGGAGGGCAGAACTCTAACTGACAGACTCAAAGAATGCTCTGGGTGCCTGGGTCGGACAGGAAGCCAGAAAACACTGTTCAAGAATAAATAATGGAATGGCCTCATAAGGCTCACATGCATGTAATATTTTGCATATGATTATATGAGCACAGAAACAGGCATGGAAGGAACACCCAGTCTGTTAACATAGTTTTTGAAAGGTATGAGAAGGGGAAGTTAAGGGAGAGGATATTAAAAACTCTATGACCGAACCGAAAAAAATACGACATAATGATTGCATTCGTTATCCATTGCTGTGTAACAAATTATGCCAGCATTTAGCAGCTCTGGACAACGAAAATTTAGTATCTCACAGTTTCTGCAGGTCAGGAATTTGGGCTGAGCTGCGTCATTGGGTTCAAGGTCTCATACGAGGCTGCAGTTAAGGTGTCAGCCGAGTCTGCAGTGTCATCCGAAAGCTCAGCTGAGGAAGGATCCACTCCAAAGGCTGTTGGCACGATTCGGTGCCTTGTGGGCTGTGGCTGTTGCTATTCAGTTCCTTGCTCCGTGGGCCTCTCCGCAGGGCAGTTTACAACACAGCAGCTAGCTTCCTCAGAAGAAGCAAGCAAGAGAGCAAGAGAAAGAGCAAATCGGAAGCCAGAGTCTTTTTGTAACATAAGCACAAAGGTCACATCCCATCACTTTTGCCACATTCTGTTTGTTAGAACCAAGCCACTAAGTTCCAGCCACAGTCAAGGGGACACAAAGCCATGGCTGCCAGGGGACGGGGACTCTAAAGATATAAAAGTTGCAAATGCACATGAACGAGGAAAAGAAAACATAAAAGTAGGTAAGGGTGGGGGCCAGCCCCATGGCCGAGTGGTTAAGTTTGCGCACTCCACTTCAGTGCCCCGGGGTTTCTCCAGTTGGGATCCTGGGCGCAGACATGGCACTGCTCATCAGGCCATGCTGAGGCGGCATCCCACATGCCACAACTAGAAGGACCCACAACTAAAAAATATACAACTATGTACTGGGAGGATTGGGGGAGAAAAAAAAAGATTGACAACAGTTGTTAGCTCAGGTGTCAATCTTTTAAAAAAAAAAAACCTGAAAAATAAAATAAAATAAAATATACAACCACGTCCTGGGAGGCTTTGGGGAGAAGAGAGAAAAAAAAGAGAAAGATTGGCAACAGATGTTGGCTCAGGGCCAATCCTTAAAAAAAAGAAAAAGGTAGGTAAGGGTGGCTGGAGTGCCAGAAGAAGCAGGCCAGTTAGCCCTGATAAAGAGTTGATCTTACTCCAAAGGGAAGCCATCAGTTTCAGACAGGAAGTTGACATGCTCAGCTTTGTGCCTTAAATAGCTCAGTCTGCCAAATCAAGAGATACTAGAGACCTACAGGAAACTGTAGAAGAAATAGCTGAAAGAGTAAAACATCTCTGCCTCTGCAAGTTGGAACAAGAGATTGTTGCTTTTCAGGATAGCCTACCTATAGAAACTGTTAGTGTTTTTTTAAACCGTGTATACATATTACTTCTATTTAAAGGACCTTTTATATTGTTTTTGAGTAAGATTAGCCTTGAGCTAACATCTGTGCCCATCTTCCTCTGCTTTATATGTGGGACACCTGCCACAGCATGGCTTGATAAGCGGTGCATAGGTCCACGCCTGGGATCCGAACTGGCAAACCCTGGGCCGCTGAAGCAGAGGGCACAAACTTAACTACCACACCACCGGGCCAGCCCGTAAAGGACTTTTTAATTTAAAAAACAGAAAGAGAATAACAAGAAAGAAGCCATAGAAAGAAAATTCATTTCGCAATAATGTTGTGTAAATTCTAGAGAGCAAATGCAG